TAACAGGCCTAGAGCTGTTTCTAACAAATGAACATGGGCTACCGTGAGCCACTACCAAAGCAAAACAAACAAGATTACTTTTCTACACCTTTCAAACTGACAACCATTTTATTGTGACTGTAAGTATCACTTTGCATACCTGTGACCAGAATACCTGACAGAACATCTTAAAGGGAGGAATTGCTTCTGTGGATTAAGGTTTCAGAAGTGTCAATCTATCAGAGCAGGGAAGGCGTGGTGGAAAGAACAGAGCAAGTACAGATGCGTAAAAAAGCCAGGGGGATATGCAGACTCCCAAGAAATGTCACCAGCGACCTATTTTCTCCAACCAACCCCCACCTCTCACTTTCCACCTTCTCCCAGTAATGCCACCACACTATGAGTCCATCAAGGCACTAATCCATCCACTAATCCTTGAGATCCGTCACTGGAAACTCCCTCACAGACACAGCCAGAGGTATGCTTTTCTGGTCTCCTTAGCAGTTCTCAACCCAGTCAACCTGACCACCAACATAAGCCACTATTTATTATGATGGTGCCCAGGGCTGTTAAGTCTGTAGCGAAATTAATGCTCTCACTGGTGGCAACATAAACTGGTCCAAATTTTCTGTGAGACCATTTTGTAGTATCTACTGAAATTTAATATACAATTTCCTAAAAGGCCTCACTCTGCGTGCTTCATACAGATACACGACACTGGCTGCAACACTATTTCTATCTGATGTTATCAAAAGATACATGTAGACACCAAAAAGGTAATCTCAAGAAGCAAAAAATAGAATACCAGTTACCAGATCCCGTGAAGGGTATGGAAGATGGAGCAATAGATGGTTAGTAGGTACTAGGATGCAGTTCGGTATGAGAAATTGCTTCTAATGTTCAATAGCATAGGACGATGTTTATGGCTGATGACAATTAGTTGAATATTTCAATTAATTGGGCTTGTAGATGGTTTTTTTTCTTTTTTGTTTGTTTATTTCCTTCTGGTATTTTCAGACAGGGTTTCACCATGTAGCTCTAGCTTCCCTGGAACTCTCTATGTACACATCAGGCTAGCCTCAAATTCACAGAGACCCGCCTACCTCTGCCTTCTAAGTGCTGGGATTTTAAGGTCATGTGCCACCATACCTGGTGTAGATGGGATTTTTCACATTCCCAACACAAAGAAGCATGCTTGAGGTAAAAGACAGGAATAATCTAATCATATACATGTATTGAAAGCCAGATGTATCTCATAAATATGTATAATTATTATGTATCAATAAAAAACAAAATATATGGAAACGCTGGTAAGAGAGTTCAGCATGTAAAGCACTTGCTGGGAGAACCAGACAAACTGAGCTTAATCCATAAAACCTGTAATAAAAACAGAGAACTGACCCCTGAAAATTGTCCTCTGGCCTCCACATATGCACCAGGGCAATATGCATACTTATACACATACACACACACAATTAAGACATTTAAATATGTACTGAAATGAAGGGGGTTTTTTGTTTGTTTGGTTGGTTGGTTTTTCAAGACAGTGTTTCTCTGTGTAGTTTTGGTGCCTGTCCTGGATCTCAATCTGTAGACCAGGCTGGCCTCGAACTCACAGAGATCTGCCTGCCTCTGCCTCCCAAGTGTTGAGATTAAAGGCGTGTGTCACCGCTGCCAGCCTGAAATGAGGTTTTAAAAAGTGGATTTGCATGTGTTAAAAATGGGTCAAATCTGTCAGTAACTGCTGAGGCCAGGGTGTGGCAGGGGAATCCCAATAACTAAGATAGTCCCTACAGTCAGGTGTGGTGGCACAAACCTTTAATACCAGCACTTGTGAGGCAGAAGCAAGCAGATTTCTGTAGGTTCGAGGCCAGCCTGGTCTATATAGTGAGGTCCAGGACAGCCAGATCTTTATAGAGAGACTCTGTCTCAAAACAAAAACAAAAACAAAAAGTCAGTCCCTCCAAAAATCATAGGTTGAAACTCTACCATCCAGAATTTCTATATATGAAATAAAACCTTTTAAAATGTAATTCATGTTGGGTGATTATCCTTTGAGAATCCTACAGCCACATTCTCAAGTGTGTCTACTTCCTCCCTGAGCATCTTTCTTTCTCTTAGCCCTACTCCTTAAAATTTCATAAGAAATTCTAACTCTGCTTCAAAAAATAATAATTGTTAAGGTTAAATTGAGGGTGTATGGCTGGAACTCCAATCCAATTGGACTGGTGGTTCTGTTTTTAAAAAAAAACAGATTCAAGTATGCATACTGTGGTGGTCTGAATGAGAATGGCCCCACAGGCTCATATATTTGAATACTTGGTAACCAGGGAGGGAGTGGAACTGTTTGAAAGGATTATAAAGATTAGGAGGTCACTGTTGGAGGAAGTGTGTTACTGGGGGCTGGGCTTTAAGGTTTCAAAAGCCCACAACAGGCTCAGTCTCTTTTATTTTTATTTTTTTTATTTTTTGGTTTTTTGAGACAGGGTTTCTCTGTGTAGCTTTGTGCCTTTCCTGGAACTCGCTTTGTAGACCAGGCTGGCCTCGAACTCACAGAGATCTGCCTGCCTCTGCCTCCCTAGTGTTGGGATTAAAGGCACCACCGCCCGGCCAACAGGCTCAGTCTCTATCTCCCTCTCTTGGCCTACAGATGAGGATGTAGCTCTCAGGTATGGCTCTGGTACTATGCATGAAGCTCCCTGCTCCCTGCCATGAGGATAATGGACAAAACCTCTGAAACTTGCTCTGTAAGCAAGCTCCCAATTCAATGCTTGCTTGCTTGCTTGCTTGCTTGCTTGCTTTGTTTGTTTGTTTATTTGTTTGTTTTGTTTTTTTGAGACAGGGTTTCTCTGTGTAGTTTTGGTTCCTGTCCTGGATCTCATGCTGCAGACCAGGCTGACCTCCAACTCACAGAGATCCGCCTGGCTCTGTCTCCCCAGTGCTGGGATTAAAGGCGTGTGCCACTGCCGCCGGGCAATTAAATAACACAGCTGTCCATGCAGATGCAAAGAGGGATTAAGTCTTTCAGTTCCAGACTCACCACTGTGAGAAAATACTTAAACCATCCATCCTGTAGTATTATGGTAGCCCTACAACTAAAACAACTACAAATAAATAAATAAACTGGAATCTAAGAAAAATTCTATTTTTAAAAAACTCGTTTGGCCAGGTGGTTCAAGTGTATAATCCTTTCCGATCAGGAAGCTGAGACAGGAAGATCAAGAATTTAAGGCCTGCCTGGGCTACCATGTGAGTTCAAGGCCAGCCTACGTAACTTAGCAAGAGCCTGTCTTGAATTTTTTAAAGTTAAGAAAAGAACTGGGATATACTACAGTGGTAGAACACTTCCCTAGAAAGTGCAAGGCCCTAGGTTCAAGCCTCACTACAAAAAGAGAACAAAAGAAAAACAATCATAAGTTACTTCAAGGAAAAGAAAGTAATTAGAGCCAGGCGGTGGTGGTGCACGCCTTTAATCCCAGCACTAGGGAGGCAGAGACAGGCTGATCTCTGTGAGCTCCAGGCCAGCCTGGGTACAAAGCAAGAGCCAGGACAGGCTCCAAACAAAACTACATGGAGAAACCCTGTCTCCAAAAAAAAGGAAAAGAAAGAAGGAAAGAAACTAATTAGTTGTATCTTTTTTTAAATGGCCAGGGGACTGGAGATAGCTCCGTAGGTAAAGAGCCTGCCTGTCTTGCAAACACTAGAACCAGAGTGCAATGTCAGCACCCACATTTTCAAGAAGGACCGGTGGTGGCATGTGTTTGCAATCCTGGCACCAGGGGATCGCTGGGGGTCCCTAGACAGCCAGCCTAACCTACGTGGTGAGTTCCAGACCATTTTAAAAGAAGGGCAGACAGCACCCGAGGGAGACAAATGAAGTTGTCATGAGGCCTCTGCATACACATGTATCCATACCCACACACACATTAACCCAAGGCACATACACATACATCATGGTGGCAGTATTTAGGAGGCTGAAACAGGAAGTTTAAGAATGTAAAACCAGCCTGGGCTACTTTCTGAGACTTCTCAAAGAAGAAAGCAGTGCGGAGCCAGCTGCAGTAGTACGTGACTGTGGTCCCAGATACTCAGGATGCTGAGGGAGGGGATCCCGGTCTAGGCAACATAGTCAGACCCCACCTCAAGCAGCAAAACTAACAAACGGCTACAATAGGTAACTCTATCAGAACCCTACACCAATAACTAATCATGACAATAGTAAAGTCCAGATGCATAATCATAATCTTTTTAAAATACATCTCTTTAAGTTTTATCTATCTGTTTTACAGATATGAGTATTTGGTACTCATGTATGTCTGTGCACTATGTACATGCCTAACGATTGCAGAGGCAAGAAAAGGGCCCCCTGGAATGGAGATAGAGACAATTGTGAGCCGTCATGGTGGTGCTGGGAACTGAACCCGAGTCCTCTAGAAGAGTAACTAGTGCTTTCAACCATTGAGCTTTCTCTCCAGCCCAGAGTATCTTTTGAAACACAGCTATAGCACCAGTTAAGAGATACCCTCTTGCCAGGGGTGGTAGCGCACACCTTTAATCCCAGCACTCGGGAGGCAGAGGCAGGCGGATCTCTGAGTTTGAAGCCAGCCAGGTCTACAGAGTGAGTTCTAGGACAGCCAGGACCACACAGAGAAACCCTGTCACAAAAAACCAAAAAGGGGTGAAAAAAAAGGGAGAGAGATACCCTCTCAAACAAATTAATTTTACAAAATTAGAAAAGAACAAATAATTTTACTAAACCTAAAATTTTAGTGACCTTAAAATGATTAATTTTATAATAATGAGATTTAAATTCCATAAATCAACTAGGCATAAGGTATACTTAAACTGAAAACCCAAGATCCTAATCTCCAAGTTTTATTTTAACATATATCAGAGATAAGCTTCTATGAAATCTTTAATTACATAGACAATCAAAAGGGACACATAAGAAAATAAAAATTTATTTACTAAGATATTTTAAACATATCAAATAAAACAATGCACTTTAAAAGTTAATTTACCCCCTTCGGGAGCTTCCAGCACTCTGAGCCTCTGAGCTGGGACAATGGTGGCTGAGCAAGAACATCCTCTGACTTCACAGCTAACAACTTTGTTATCTGAAACCAGGACAAGAAAATCATTAGTTTAACTGAATCAACTAACAGAGGCACTGTCTATTGTGCTACATAAATATTCTAATAGTTTTGAAGGTTTCAATTCAATTCTTAATTTATAAGCAATCAAATTCAGTTGTATGAAAAATATCTTCTCATGAGCATAAGATCAGGTCAATGAAGGATCACACTATTCTCTTGCCTGGTCTCCTTCCCTTCTAACCTATCTAATGCAAGCTATAGTTATATAACACACAAAGTTATTCATGGCTGTACAAAATACAGCAATGGCATCAGCACTTACAAGTAAAACTCTATTCATTCAGGGCTGTTTCTCATCACCCACAGATTTAAAGCTCTAACTCAACTTTATGGAGTTGCTAAACTTTCTTCAGGCATGTCACATTATTTTATATCTTTAGCTACTTTTATATATTATTTCTTCTTTCTAGGATGCTCTCCCCTGTATTTCTTTTTATGAAATACTCTGGACTTGGCTGAAAATTATCTTCATAAACATCATCCTGACTTGAAGCCACTCCTTTCTCTGTGTGTGAGTGCTTAGCACATCTATTTTAAATTATTTATATTACTCGTACCATATCACAGTTATCTGTCTATATAGCTGTCTTCTTCAAACTGCATAATCCTCCTAAACTGAGGGTCCTGGTCATTCATTTTCTTTCTCTTTTGTCTGTTTTTTGAGAAAAGGCCACAGCTGGCCTAGAACTTACTACACAGACCAGGCTGGCATTAAACTTGTGACAATCCTCCTGTCTCTGCCTCCCATGAGATAGGATTCCAGGCTTCTGTCCACTATACCAGGTACTTTATAACTTTTATATCATATATATATATGTGTGCGTGTGTGTGTGTGTGTGTGTGCGTGTGTGTGTGTGTGTGTGTGTGTGTGTGTGTGATGATATATCATGATAGCTAAACTTTAAAAATGGAAGCATGAAATGCAACAAGTTAGATATCATTTGTTTAAAAATTAAATACCTAAAATTTATAAATAACTTAGTATTAAATAACAAACAATAGTTGCTTACAAGGGGGGCCAGTTCAGCAGCAGAGTACTGGCAGAGCATGTACATGAGGCCCTAGGTTCAATTATCAACACCCTCCTCCTCAAAAAGCACTAATATCACCTAATCTTTCATCAATAAGTATTTCTCTGATAAGAAAGCCTAAGTCAGGAGGATAGAATAAATTTAAAGAAAATATACCTCAGTTCTTACATCACCAGCTTACATCACTAAGGGATAGCTAATCTTCCTGAGCACCAGTAACTTACTATTTATTGCTTTTCTGTATTAAAAAGTATTTCTTTGTAATTCTTCACTTGCAAAAAAAACAGTATCTCTAAAGCACTTACTTCAACTTTATATACTGCTGGGAATCAAACTCAGGGCCTCATGCATGAGAGGCAATTACTCTACTACTAACTGAGTCGTATCTCTACCCTTTTGTTAATTCATTAATTTGAAGCAAGGTCTTACTAAGTTACATAGGTTGAAATTAAACTCACTCAGTAGCACAGGCTGGTACTTAATCGTCTATGTTTCTGCCTCAGCTTCCAGGGGAGCTGGGACTACAGGCTGGCTCCACCAGACCTACCACTTCCTATTCCAATTAGGAAACAACAGGAGTTAAGACAGAAGCTTTAGGTGGTTCAATATATAATGTATTTTCCAAGAATAGCCCTATCAATATTGCCCACACTACATGGTCATATTATATTGTGATGCTAATAGCCACGAGACATCAAAATATTCCTTCCACTTGAATCTGAGCAGGCCTGTGACTTCCAAAGCTAATCTACAAAGCCAATATAGTAGATAGGCATAGTAGCACACTTGGTAATCCCAGAACATTGGAGGCTAAGGCAAGAGGATCTTGAATCACTGTTTGTCTGGGCTGTATAGTTAGGACCTGTCTCAAAACAAAATAAAATGGCAATACAGCTTCAGCACAGCTCAAAACTGTCCACAGCTTAAAATGTTTCTTTTTTTTTCTTTTTTTTTTTCTTTTTTTTTTTTTTTTTTTTTGAGACAGGGTTTCTCTATGTGGCTTTGGAGCCTGTTCTAGAATTTGCTCTGTAGACCAGGCTGGACTCGAACTCACAGAGATCAGTCTGCCTCTGCCTCCTGAGTACTGGGATTAATGGCGTGTGTTACCACCGCCTGGCTCAGACTTTTTTTTTTAATCTGGCTATCTTGAAGCTACTGAATTATAAAGATCCCATGAAAAGACTGGGGATGGGGGGGGGATAATAAATAAAAGTATACATCAAGATATTTGCATCTAGCGTAGGGGATGTAGCTCAGTAGGTAGAGTACTGGCTATCATGAATGAAGCCCTAGGTGGAATCCCCAGCACTGCATAAACCGGATTACATACACCTGTAATCCCAGCACTCAGGAAAGAGAGACAGGAAGCTCAAAAGTTCAAAGGCATCCTCTGTTACATAGCAAGTTTGAGGCCAGCCTAGACTACATGAGACTGTCCTAAGAGGTGAGAAAAGGATGTGTGGGGGTCAGCAAGACAGCTCAGTGTAAAAGCCCTTGCTTCACAACCTGAACAGCCTGAGTTCAATCCCAGATCCCACTGTGGAAACACAGAACTAACTCCCCAAAGTTGGCCTTACCTTCACTCATGTGTCAGAGCTCATACACACATCATATATGGGAAACCCACACAATAATAAAATAATTTTTAAAGATGTTTGGGGGCCAGGGTTGGAGAGATGGCTAGGTAATTAAGACCACTCCTGCTCTTCAAGAGGACCTGGGTTCAATTCCCAGCATGCACATGGCACCTTAAGATTGTCTGTAACTGCAGTTCCAGGGGTTCTGACACCCTCACAAAGATATAGACATAGGCAAAACACCAATGCACATAAAACAAAAATAAGTAATTTTTTAAAAAATGTTAGCGGGACAGTGAGATGGCTCAGTGAGTATAAAGCATTTGCTGTCAAGCCTGATAACCTGAGTTCAATACCCAGAATCATGTCCATAATGGAAGGAGAGAACTGACTCTGTCCATAAGGACAGAACTGACTCTGTCCATAAGGAAGGAGAGAACTGACTCATGCTGTGCACCCCTGCACCTTGTTCTTTTGTTCAGTTTGTTTTGTTTTAGATCCAGTCTGATGTAGCCCAGGCTAGCCTTAAACTACTGATACTCCTGACTCACTTTCTCAAGGGCTGGGAGGCAGGCATGCGCCATCATGCCTAGCTCACACCTGGTTCTCTGGACAACTTGTACATAGCTGAGACAATGATTAAAATTAACAAAGATTTTAAACTACAAATTGATAAGTCTTTGGCCTCCTGAAGGCCTCTCTGCAGACACAGCAAACCGAATCAGACCGAACTGGAAAGCCCAGGTTTAAAGGGTAAAGTGCTCCACGGTGACTCAAGACTGGAAGAATCACACATCTGTTTTCTGGGATGCCGCTTATATACCCTGTGGGAGTGGTCTTGAGCCTCTCTGGGGGAGGAGCTATGTTTGGTGGGCTTTGAAGGGGTAAGCTTGGGGAGGAGCTGTGTTTGGTGGGCTTTGAAGGGTCAGGTTTAGGGAAAGAGATGGGGAGGGGAGGTGGATCTTCCACCAGACTCCTTCCAAACATTCCAGACTCTTTGGTATATGCCAGGGTGCCAGGGATTGAGGTGGAGCTCCCACCCAAACACAAATGATTCTGCAAACCCATAATTCCAATGCAAGAATCATCACAATTTATAATTTAAAAGAGTTCAACACAGTTATAGATTACTGGTTAAATCAACTGTGATGCACACATATAGTGGAGTATCAATAGTCATTAAAATACTCACTGCTGTTTCTCTCATGTTTATGTTCAGTACAGCATCTAATACATGCCAAGTACCCAATACGTATCTACTGAGAAATGCTTTGAATAAATTTGATTTCCTAAAGTGATGTTTACAATAATCTAATGCATTATTTTGTGGCTTTTTGAAACTATTAATGTTTTTTTATGTTTTAAATGTTTACCATTGGGGCTGGAGAGATGGTTCAGTGGCTAAGAGCACTGGCTGCTTGTCCAGAGGACCTGGTTCAATTCCCAATACCCACATGGCAGTTCACAACTGTCTGTAACTCCAGTTCCAGGGCACCCGACACCCTCACATTGTGAAGGCCTAGACTTAACTTTACAGACTCCATTTTAGGGAAAGGGCTACCATCTCAGACCACCTGCTGTACTCAGTTCCAGGAAGGACCTCAGGAATGTGCCATGAAAACTCGAACAGATACAGAGCAGTGTCCTCCTGCAGACATCCTGTCTGCGGTTTATGGCCCTTGAAGATATCTAGATAATTCTGTTAAGCAGTCCAGATAATCTGTTCAGCAGGTTGTAGTTCCCTGTCAAAAGTCTAACCCAAAGGTTTCAAATGTGGTTTCACGCCCAAAGTCTAGACCAATAGTTGCAAAAAGTCACCTTGTCCCATATCCCTTCTACCCAATCCCAAGTTGCCAATTCCCGGCTTGTGGTTTTTCCCTATAAAAACTCTCCACACCTGGGCTCGCGACCACTGCCACATTTCCTTCCATCTGCCATGCAGTGGCCCAGGTTGAACCTGAATAAAAGGACCCTTATGTGCTTGCACCAGAAACCAGCTCCTTGGTGGTCTCTGGGGGTTTCTCGAAGCGGGTACAACAACATAGACATACATGCAGGCAAAACACCAATGCACATAAAATAAAAATAAAATCTTTTAAAGAAGATGTCTGTGGACAGACAGAGAGACAACAGACACATGTAACAGAAGGATGTGCTCCAGTTAGTTCTCAGTGTGTCTGGTCAGTATTCTCTAAAAACAACGATTTCTTTGTTATTTTTTATTTATGTTTATGTGTGTGAGCTTGTGGGAGGCCAGAAGATGGCTTCCAACCCCTTGAAACTGGACTTACAGGCAGTTAAGGACTGCCATGGGGATGCCAAACCTGAACCCACAACTTCTGCAAGAGCGGTA